CGGGGTTAAGTGTCTTGCCCAGGGACACAACGGCACATGGTGTGGGAAGTCGGGATTCGAACCTCCAACCTTCCAATCAGAGGTCGGCTGCCACCACCACTGCACCACGGCCGCCCACATATATATATATATATATATACATATACTACTACTATATACTAGACTTTTTAACAAACAGACCACAGTTAGTGAGGATCCACAACCTCTCCTCCTCCACCATAACCCTCAGCACTGGCTCTCTTCAGGGATGTGTGTTGAGCCCCCTCCTGTTTACTCTACTCACGTAAGATTGTGCAGCTACCCATCCAGGCTGTCGCATTGTAAAGTTTGCAGATGATACAGCGGTGGTGGGATGCATCACAAACAATGATGAGTCCAGCTACAGGCAAGAGGTGGAACACCTGGAGAGCTGGTGCAAAGAGAATAACCTTCACATCAATGTGGAGAAGACAAAGGAGATGATTGTGGACTTCAGAAGGAACAAAAACATCTATACCCCCTGAACATAAGAGGATCTGCGGTGGAAGTGGTCTCCAGCTACAAGTACTTGGGTGTACACATGAATGACAACCTCAGCTGGAGCAACAACACCACCAGCCTGATCAAGAAAGCTCATCAGAGACTCTACTTCCTCAGACAGCTGAGACGAGCTGGTCTGGGAAGCTCAGTCCTCACCTCCTTCTACAGGTGTGCAGTGGAGAGCATCCTGTGCTCGAGCATCAATGTGTGGCATGGAGGCTGCACAGCTGCAGAAAGAAAAGCTTTGCAGAGAGTGGTGAAGGCTGCACAGAAATCTGTTGGAATCAGCCTCCCCACTATCACAGACATCTACACCTCCAGATGCAGGAAGAGGGCCACCTGCATCATGAAGGACCCCACTCACCCAGCACACACACTTTTTGCCCCACTCCCCTCAGGAAGGAGGTTAAGGAGCATTAAGTGTAGAACCACTAGACTGAGGAACAGCTTCTACCCTGAGGCTGTTAGACTCATGAATCTCTAACTAGAATAATCACTGTGAAAAACCATATCATGTTGCTGCTGATCTGTTTCATGTTGCTGCTGATCTGTTTCATGTTGCTGCTGATCTGTTTAAATGTTGATGTGTTCATGCGTGCACATCCGCTCACACAGACTCATGTTCATGTTTGTGCTGATGTTCAATGTTTTATGTTATGAGTGCTTAGTGTATATTTAGTTGATGTTTTTCTTAGTTCATATCTTAGATGTTATTACTGTTTTTCTTATACATTTTATTGTTGGATGTGACTGGGACCCCGTGTACATAATTTCGCTCCACCACGTGTACCACATGAGGTGCGAATGACAATAAAGAGACTCTGACTCTGATATATATATATATATATATATATATATATATATATATATATATATATATATATATATATACAGTATATAGATATATATACATATACACACACATTATATGAATGTTTCTGTTCAGTGCCCTGAGGTGACTTATGTTGTGACTTGGCGTTATATAAATAAACTGAATTGAATTGCAAAAAAATAAAATTGCGGACCCCCAAGCAATGGCTCGTGGACCCCCGGGGTCCAGGGACCCCAGTTTGAGGACCACTGAGTTCAAGAGTGGGATCAGTGGCGGCTGCATGGTTCGTTTGCAGCGCATGTCTCTGAGTGCTTGAAGACGGAGAGGCACTACAGCTGAGCCGCTGCTCCCCCAGTTGGAAACGCTGCGTGCAGCCGGGCTCATCGTGCATCACATGGTGTCAGTGTACGTCCTGCAGGAGAATAGCAACATGTCGGCTTTACAGGCTTATACAACAATGGCCAACATGTTTTCATTTTGAAAAGCGTACATCAGGTGACCACCTCCCCCATGTTCACGTGATTGTACACTTGTGAAAATGCTGAGAACTGTAACTCACCCCAAAGTCAATTCCCTCCAACACAATGAGGCATTACATAATTTATTACAACTAAACAGAAAAATGAATCTTTAAACTTGTAGCAGTAAAGTAAAACTAGGCAGTTTGGTTCTGTTGACGGGGCGGGGCACCCCGTTTGTAATGGAAGCACTGATTTATGACCTTGGAGCTTGGGTAATAAAAAGTGTACGTGACATGCTGCCTAGAGATGATGCTTGTGTTTAGTTGAACTGTCTTGACCAGAGTAGAAGTTGTGGGCGGGACAAGAGAAAGTTTGGACTGTAGTCGGTCCACCTTTTGGGGGCGTATTAAAAGATTGAGGTAACATTTTTCTGCTTTGCCTGTTTGCATTATTTTTAAATAATGACATGTAAGATTATGTGTGTTGTTAAAGTTCAAATGTTTTGTACCATGACAGGAAACTGTACAGAACCAGCCTCATGTTCCCAGGGTGGCTGCTCCAGATGATTCACCTCCATCTTCTCCCGTGTTTGCCCTTCAGGTGCCTTCGTGTGCAAGGGTCGTTCAGGATGGCTGATGCCGCTGGGGGAGGCTCTGTGGGAGAGCCCCGACCTCCAGCTGTGCATCCCTGTGAAGTTTAGGAGGGCGCCCCCGCTGCCTCCCCCGCCAGGACCGGCCATGTGCACCCTGCTCTTAGACATGCTCGCCTCGGACCCAGACGCTCGGCCGCCGGCTGACCAGCTGGAGTCCAGATTGTGCTCGGCTCTGAGAGAGGACTCCCACTGACAGCTCGCTGAAGTGTCTCACCCCCCAAAGACAGAACCAGAGCTGGACTCTTTCGACTGAAGTTGCTGCTATAGCGATCGGTCTGCTGCCTCAGGGGGTCACATAAATATTAAAATAAGGTTGTGGAGTACTTTCTATGTCAGGGACGTGGAACAAGCTCAGATTTTTAACAGTGTAGAAAGTTGCATTAACCACAGTGATGGTCCAACAGGTGCAGAAACCTGAGGGACCAATGTTTCCTGTTCAGGCCTGCAAAATGTTTCATTAAAGAATCTGTTTAGTTCCATTTCAAACATCTGCAACTCAACTATTTAGTTTTTTGTCTTTTTTTTTATGTTTGTTGATTTGTTTCTTATGGACGTCAACCTGTTAACTTGTAAAGTTATTTATGTAAAGATTTTATTTTTTGACCTTGTTGTTCTGTCCACCTCCTTGTGGCATTTCCTGATTCTTTCTACAATTTAATACCTGCATCAAACTGCTACACTAATATTAAAGCTTGTTCTCCAGTCTGTGCTGTTGCAGTTTGCAGGAATATTTTTGCTATTAATAAAGATGTGATTTGAAAAACAATTTTTTAAATGTTTTATAAACTTTAAAAAATAGTTTTATAGGGTTTTTAAGTACATAACTTTACAATTTTGGATTTTCTGCTTTTATTGTCTGATTGTCTGTTGCCATATTAAAAAAAAATAACTAAACAATTGAACAGCTTTCTAATTGAAAGGATTTTAAAGGTTATAGTTTGAGTCCTTGTGGTGAAAAGTGTAAGCGGCGGCAGCGTGAAGTTCGCCGACTAATGATGGCTGGTGTTGGTCCTCCTTCAGACAGGATATTAAAGGCAGATTGTTGTTGATCCTATCAGTCCTGCATTCACAGCATTTATTACAGGTCATCAGTCTCAGAACTGGACTCTCCCCACCTCCCTTCAAATGCCTCAGAAAACTTTGTTTTAGAACTGGATTGTGTCCACAAATCTCTTCAATGGACACTTATAAAGTTTATAAGGAGTCCCTCGCTACTTCCTGGTTCGACTTTCACAGGCTTGCTCTTTCGCGGTTTTTCAACAATTATCAACTTTAATTTTACTCGTGATTGGGACGATACGGGATAAAAGTAACTACAAAATAATTACTTTGGACAGACGCTGCCATTTTGTAGTTTTCTTTCAATAAGCCTAAACTTTAAGGCCAGTCAAAAGAACTATGTTACCCAGAAGCCAACAGTGCTTCCAGCTACTGCTTTCTGCCAAAATGGAGGGAAAGTTTTTTTGCAAATCTACGCTATCAAGTTCACAGAACTGGCAGGAAAGTTGCAAATAATTCTGAAGATGAATTCATCCTTCAAGTTGTAGCAGTATCTTCACTGGTGAGTAGAGTTGCATTCGGGCCCAAAAAACCCGGTCTCAACCCGTAGCCATCATTTGCAAACCCCACCTGACCCGACAAATTAACAGTAATTACAGGTCTGAACATCCCCCCCACCACCGACGTTTTTAATTAAGCTTTGACTGCTTCTATAGTTATTAATGATCAGCAGACGTGCCCGGCTGAGGAGGCAGGAGATGGGAGCCGAGGGGGTGTTTGTCCTTTCATGGCCATCAAAGCGCATTAAATCCCTGCTTCTGCTGCATTCTGCATTATTCAGACACGGACCCTGCTCTGACATCTGATATTTTGTGATCTCACACCTGTTTGGGTTGTCAGCCGCGCGCGTCCGCTGAGTGCGGTGGCTGAATGAACATCCATTTCATATCAATTGGCTTTGTTCGTTCTGGTTGCTTTTCTGTCCCATCTGAAGCTTAACTGAACTTTTTACCTCTTTTTCAAGGCTGGTCAACGCACGGTCAAATGGCCACGTGCAGCTTGTGAATGTATGGCAAGCCATGTTACCATATAATTGGATCGTTAGCCGCGCATGTCCACTGATGCAATCAAAAGCCAGACCCGGCCCGCACATTTTTATGGCCGGGCCCTAATCTGGGCCGGGCCGGGTTTGGGTTAGACATGACGGTTCTACTGGTGAGTAGCTGGGCTGCAGTTGATCCAGACTCCATGTGATCTGGATCCTGGGGGCTGCAGGGAACAGACCGTGGTGGGGTTCAGCCTGGTTCTGGTCACGCGGTTCTGGTCTGGACCGGCCCGAGGTGGTGGACTACATCGTGGGCGGCCTTGTGCACTGAGTGTCCTTCCTGAAGCGGCAGCATGTGCACATCAACCTGGATGGGGCGGTGAGCTTAGTCATGCTCCAGGGTAGCTGAACGGAATTGAAGCCTTCAGGTGCTTCAAACGGTGCCACGAGACTGGAACAAAAACCAGGACTGAATTCAGCGAGAAGAGTTCAGCTCAGAACCGTGAAGTGAGGGGAGGGAGGAGTGGGGTTTAGGACACCTGACAGAGCCAGAGCTGCTCACACAACCAGCTTTTCTTCTCCAAAATTCATTCAACCGTTATTTAAACAGGTTAATCCCATTGAGCCTCGGGGACTCATTTACAAGAGAGACCTGATTTCTTAACAAAGAGTGATGACAACAGTGAGTAACAACGACAACAATAGAAAATCATAAAAGAGGCGTACAAATTTAAATTTTTTACAAATAGTAATTTTATTGTGTCTACAAATGTAGGTAAATGTTGATGTATAACAACACATTAAAATACACCAAAATGCAGGAAATGGTATCTCTGTTATTCAAAATTTTCTGTGAGAGGACCCACGGAACCCCCCCCACACACACACACGCACACGACCTGCCCGCTGTTCCGGCATCAGTTTACAAATTCAGCCCTGCTCAGGGCTATGTTTAATAGTGAAAGTAAGAGCATTTCCACACACACAATGATAAGGGAACTCAAGGGATTGGGACTGAACAGCTGTGTAGCCTTAAGAAAACCACTAATTAGTGAGGCTAACTGGAAAAAAGTATTTGATTTGCTAGGGAGCATAAAGATTGGATTCGGGAGCAATGGAAGAAGATCATGTGGTCTGATGAGTCCAGATTTACCCTGTTCCAGAGCGATGGATGCATCAGGGTAAGAAGAGAGGCAGGTGAAGTGATGCACCCATCATGCCTAGTGTCTAGTCATCAATGTAAGATCTTGGTGAAAAATTAATGCAACACTGGATGAAAATAGATCTTGTGATATTGCAGAAGCTTATCGAAACAATGCCACAGCGAATGCATGCTGTAATCAAAGCTAAAGGCGGTCCAACAAAATATTAGTGGGTGACCTTTTTTTGGTGGCAACTTTTTTTTTTTGGGCCAGGCAGTGTATGTATGTTGTTAAAATTATGAAGGTTTAAGAGTTTAGAACATTGCAAGAGTGTGGGAAGGGTTTATAAAGCCTTGAAATCAGTGGTGTAGTCTACGTGATACGTGGGTATACGGTGTATACCCACTAGAAAAGCTTAAGAATTTCAGTATACATATTTAAAAGTGCTCATTGATACATATTATTAAGCACATGTCATTGATATGTTAAATGGCAGTTAAACGCTTACGTAACTATATGTAGCGCTTGTTTATTACATTCGCTTATCCAGCGAATTATTGTATAATTCTGTACCTATTACTTGAACATATAATGCTTTGATACTGATTTATAATTTCTATAACGTTTTCAATACAAAGCCAACTGTTGTACAAAGTTAGTCGTACGTTTATTCAGAGAATAAGAGAAAATTGGAAATGTTCAATATGCTTAAAAATCAAAACAAATTGACAATTCCATTGTACTAACCGGTGTACTTAAGTTTCTAAGCACAGTATATCAACTACAAAAATGTAGACTACACCACTGCTTGAAATATATATGAATACTAAAATAAATATAATGGTTTGCGGTTTTTCTCTTATCTCGGGGGTCTCTGGAACATTAAGCCCCATGATAAATACAGGACCACTGTGTGTGTGTGTGTGTGTGTGTGTGTGTGTGTGTGTGTGTGTGTGT